ACCACCACACACCATCGTCACCACCACATACCACCTTCACCACCACACACCACCGTCACTACCACACACCACCGTCACCACTGTTACCACCACACACCACCGTCACCACCACACACAACCGTCACCATCACACATCACCGTCACCACCACACACCAACGTCACCACCACACACGACCGTCACCACCACATACCACCACACACGACCGTCACCACCACACACCACCGTCACCCCCTCACACCACCGTCACCACCATACACCACCGTCACCATCACACAACACCGTCACCACCACACACCACCGTCACCATTACACATTACCGTCACCACCACACACCCCCGTAACCATCACCACACCACCACACACCACCGTCACCATCATACATCACCGTCACTACCACACACCACCGTCACCACCACACACCACCGTCACCATCACACATAACCGTCACCACCACACACCACCGTCACCACCACACACCACAGTCACCACCACACACCACCGTCACCACCACACACCACCACACACCACCACACACCACCGTCACCACCACACATAACCGTCACCACCACACACCAACGTCACCATCACACACCACTGTCACCACCACACACCACCTTCACAACCAGAAACCACCATCACCACCACACACCACCGTCAACACCAAACACCACCGTCACCACCACACACCACCGTCACCATCACACACCACCATCACACACCACCGTCACCACGACACGCCATTGTCACCACTACACACCACCGTCACCACCACACACAACCGTCACCAACACACACCACCGTCACCAACACACACCACCTTCACCACCACATACCACCACACACTACCGTCACCACCACACACCACCGTCACCACCACACACCACCGTCACCACCACGCACCACCGTCACCACCACACAACCGTCACCATCACACACCATGGTCACCACTACACACCACCGTCACCATCACACATCACCGTCACCATCACACACCACCGTCACCACCACACACCACCGTCACCACCACACACTACCACACACCACGTCAACACCACACACCACTGTCATCACTACACACCACCGTCACCACCACACACCAACATCACCACCAGAACACCACCGTCACCACCACACAAAACCGTCACTACCACACACCACCTTCACCGCCACACACCACCGTCACCACCACACACCACCGTCACCACCACACACCACCGTCACCACCACACACCACCTTCATTACCACACACCACCATCACCACCACACACCACCGTCACCACCACACAAAACCGTCACTACCACACACCACCTTCACCACCACACACCACCGTCACCACCACACACCACCGTCACTACCACACACCACCTTCACCACCACACACCACCGTCACCACCACACACCACCGTCACCACCACACACCACCGTCACCACCACACACCAACATCACCACCAGAACACCATTCAGGCTTGTTCGCATTTGTGTTCCTCACGTGTGCCCCAAAGAATGAGGTGATTTGGTGAAATGCTATGCCCAAGATTACCATCCGAGTTGCCGGCGAGGAAGTGGTTCAAATAGCTTCGGTTACCACTTCCTTTTGTCCGGCCGTGATGGTCAAGCGGATTAAGGCGCCCTGTAGTTACCAGTTGCGTTGCTCTTGGGAGTATGGGTTCGAGTCACTTCTGGGGTGTGAGTTTTCAGTCGCATATAGTCCTGGGGACCATTCAGGCTTGTTTGCATTTGTGTTCCTCACGTGTGCCCCAAAGAATGAGGTGATTTGGTGAAATGCTATGCCCAAGATTACCATCCGAGTTGCCGGCAGGGAAGTGGTTCAAATAGCTTCAGCTACCACTTCCTTTTGTCCGGCCGTGATGGTCAAGCAGATTAAGGCGCCCTGTAGTTACCATTTGCGTTGCTCCTGGGAGTATGGGTTCGAGTCACTTCTGGGGTGTGAGTTTTCAGTCATATATATATATATATATATATATATATATATATATATATATATCTTAAGAGAGATATATATATATATGTCTCTCTTAAGGATTTTTTTACTTCGTGTCTGGAGTTCTTCATAAGCAAGTTAGCGGTCATCTTGTTTTTGTAGTAAATTGTTATTTGTTTCTTCTGATTGGTGTCTGTAGGGATAATGTTTCCATCATTAAAATCTTTCTGGATTTGTTCCTCCGTTTTATAAGCCGTGGAAAAAAAATCCTGTAAAACAATCTAATACGAGGAACACGTGTTCTCTTGGTTGGTTTTTCAGAGGTTGCACTGCGTTTCACCTTTCTTTTAATGACGTCTTCAACATAACCGTTAAAGATGCCATTATTGACTAGGAACTGCCTTACTCTACAGAGTTCCTCGTCGACCTGCTTTCAACCAGAGCTGTGAGTGAGAGCTCGGTCGACGTAGGTGTTGACAACACTATGCTTGTGCCTGTCCGTGCAGTCCCTATTGGCATTAAGGCACATTCCTATGTTCGATTCCTTAGGGTAAACTGCAGTATGAAAGCCGCCATTCCTTTCCGTGATTGTTACATCTAGAAAGGGCAGCATCCCATCATTCTCCATCCCGTAAGTGAAACTTAACACTTAATTTTGCTGGAAAGCCTCTTTCAACTGCTGCAAACGTCCTACATCAGGTACCTGCATAAATATGTCGGCAACGTACCTGCAGTATAGGGAGCTTTTAATTCCATGTCAACTTAGACCCTCTGTTCTGTTACCCCATGTAAAAATTCGAGAACAGGACACTTAGGGGAGAACCCATGGCGACTCCATCTACTTGTTTATACATGTGCCCATCGGGTCTCAAGAAGGATGCTTCTTTAGTGCAAGCTTCGATTAATTTCCTCAGTATGCTCTCTTGTATGTCAAGAGGGGTACAAGTCGGATCACGATACACTCTGTCCATCATCCCGATTGTTTCATCCACATCATTTTTAATCAATTACTTGATAATTTCTTATACAAGGGTGATTTTATTTTTTTTAATTCTGAAATTTTTCACACTCAATTACGTAGTAACTTTAGGAATATGAATAGTTTTGCTCAACTGGTAGAGCATTCTGCCAGAGGTTTTTGAATCTGAGCCTAAGCCTAGCAGAAGTAACATCTAGAAATCTTCTGTTATTACTGGATGACGCATCTTATCTTGAGATGATTTCGGGGCTTTAGTGTCCCCGCGGCTCGGTCCTCGACCAGGCCTCCACCCCCAGGAAGCAGCCCGTGACAGCTGACTAACACCCAGGTACCTATTTACTGCTAGGTAACAGAGGCATAGGGTGAAAGAAACTCTGCCCATTGTTTCTCGCCGGCGCCCGGGATCGAACCCGGGACCACAGGATCACAAGTCCAGCGTGCTGTCCGCTCGGCCGACCGGCTCCCCATATAGCACTTCTTACAAACTACTACAATGATGGATTGAATAGGTAATTTGAATTTAACTTTGTCTCATGGATTTTAAGATCCCTCTTGTATTACTGTGTTCAGGCTGCTCAAAGGCATTTCAAGATGGTAATCAACTCCCTTTTTAAGAACATATGCTTTAACTAACTCATTAGTTCTCATGCCAGTATGGGATGGTATCCATAAGGAACACACTCAGATTCCATCAATGATGATTTTATTATATTTTAGCTGTACCCGGCCATGCATTGCTCTGGTTCAGCAACGCATGTGCGTTGCTAAGCCACAGCAACCATCCCCTGTCTCCCAGTCCTCCCCCACCATTTTTCCCCTCCCCCGTCCCCTCATCCTCCCAACCGTTCCCCACTCCCCCGGCCCCCTTCGTCCTACCCACCATCCCCCACTCCCCTGCCCCTTGTCCTCCCCACCATTCTCCATTCTCCTGTCTCCTCGTCCCCACCATCCCTAACTCCCCCGTCTCCTCGTCCTCCCCACCATTACCCCTTCCCCTGTCCCCTCGTCCTCCCCCACTCTCGTTCCCTCGACCTCCCCACCATTCCCCACTCCCTTGTGCGATGCATTCCCAAATGATTTGATATTCCCATCAGAAAATTGGGAACATCAAACGATCTAATGTTCCCATCACTGAAATATAAGAAAAACAGTTAAAAAAAACGAAATGGAAAACAATGAAAAAATAGAGGAAATAAACTATTCTCACGAAATGAACGGTATGGTAAACAACACAGCTCAATTCCAGTGCAATGACACAAAATACTTAAATCAAAATGAAAATAAATCGAAATCTGTGAAAATACTATTTATCAATGCAATCGGAAACACTGAAATGGAATCGTGACATATTTAGTATAGTGTGTGTTGCTATTATGTGCAACAGATGGCACTGTTTTTCAAAGAAAGCATATTTTTACCTGTCACAAGTGTGGTATCTATACAAAAGGTATATAAAAACATATGCGTATTCGAATGAAATGTGTCAGAATTCCAAATCAATCTGTGAAGAACATTCGTGTTCAACGTGTGTCAGATTACAGCGTGTGTTGCTCTTACGTCCAACAGATGGCGCGGTTTTTCAAAAAAGCATGTATTTTCCTGTCACAGGTGAGGCATTTATATAGTAGGTATATAAAAACACGCGCCTATTCGAATGCAGCGTTGTGTCAAAATTTCAAAGCAATTGGTAAAGAGGTTTCGAAGGTTTTCCTTACGTGAACAACACATGAAGACACAGTTTAAAAAAAAAACAAGTTTTTCCCGTCACAGACGTGACATCTATATAGTATGTATATAAAAACACCTTCGAATGCAAATGGAACGTTGCGTGAAAATTTCAAAGCAATCGGTGCAGAACTTTCAGAGATTAGCGATTTTGAACAAACGAACATTTCCATTTTTATTTACATAGATGTGCCTAGCATCAGATACAAGCATGTTACGCGATTGTCTTGAGGTGTTGAACTGAGATGACCGAGTCTCTCAGAATTATCGTGTCAAATTGGGATACATGTACTCCTTTGCCTGCGAAGTGTATGACAAACAAGTCAGTCTTTAGTGTGGAGGCCCAGTTATTTATATAAGCTCCCCACTCAGAACAGGAGCCGCATCTCGTTGCCAGGACAACTACACTTCCGGCAGCACCAGAGGAGTGGTGCAGGGAACCATCACCGTTAATAGCTTGAGAGGTTGTGAGAGTTTGATGACTGGAGGAGGGAGCCAAATCACGGTTTTCTTCACTGAACTGGACAGGTGAGCATGCCATGAGAGCATATTATATATTAATTATGCCTGGAATTTAAGTTATGGATAAAACGTGCGTTATAAAAGCACAACAGCTATTCAGTTTTACCTTTTTGTCTTTCCAGGAATTGATACGGATTTGAAAAAGATAAAAAAAAAATTATAAAATCTTTTGCAGGAATACATCAGATAATTAAAAATACATTCCTTAAATATATTATCCAAAGATATATAACTAAAAAATAGTAATATAAAGAAAATTAATTAAATTATGCCTTCCTGTTAGTGACTAAAAGGGGGCATATGAATGGTTTTCGATCCAAATATGCAATAAATGAAAACTGGTTCGATTCCAATCAAACTTTTTTGACGAGTTGTATATGAAAATAGTTTCATCTGGTCCAAGTCTCAGCATCGTAGCATAAATAGGAAGGGAGAAAACAAGTATTGAAATAGGTGTCAAAATTATTCCAAAATGGTAAAAAACTATTATCAAACACAAGTGTCAACTGAAATCATGTCTATGACTCAGCTATCACAATATCATATATTAAAAAAATATAATAATTACTTTTATTAAAAAAAATGTAGTTAATTTTTTTTTTTGTATCTCTCTCTCTTTTGTTTATCGGGCGATTTGCATGAAACTTATACACCTGACTGCACGTAAGCTTATCTGTAAGGGTGCCAATTTTGGAGGAAATTGGTTGATGTCAACCTCAAGTCAAAGATGGCAACACCTTAGACTTTATTTTTTCTTATTTATTTTTAAGTAACATAAAAGTTCAAATATCTCTTTCATTTTTTATTCAATTTACATGAAACTTACACCTTATATGTAAAGCTTATGTCTCTAAAATCCCGAAGAAGCGTTTTTTCCTAAGTTTATTTATTGATTTTATAAATAGCAATAAACATGATATATTTACTATTTCTATTAAGAAAACTAGAGATGTTTTAGAAAATCACTTCCCACAGATCCTTTATTATATGCTAATGTGTCAGAAAAGTGTCATAGAATGATTATATCTGAAAGTTGTGGTTGCAAATTTAAACTTGAAAATGTGTAAAATTCGTTGAAAAAAATTAAAAAAATAAAAATCTCCCTTTCTATTTAGGCTGCAGTACTGAAACTTGGAACAATTGCAGCCCTTTTCATATACAATTAGTAAAAAAATATTTGTTGACATTGAACCACTTTCCCAAAACCCTTCAAAGCCAGAGGAGATACCAAACGGAAAGTCTTGACCTTTCTGTATGTGAACAGTAACAGATGAACCCTATTAAAATTAATACAAATATTAACAAATGTCCACAACATTTGTTGATAACTTTGTGTTCGTCTGAACCTTGAGAGGAATTTAATCCTTCATGTACAGTACGTAGAGAATTTTTTTATTCTCTACGTACAGTATCATACAGATACGTTGATGTTCCCATCAACTTATTTGCAAATTATTTAAAAAATGTAATCAACTAGACCTAGTTGAAAATCACCTGTTCAACTTTGATTCTGTTTCGATTGCTGATGTGGAACTCGACAAAAGTGGTGAGGGAAGTAACACTTGAAGTCCAGTATATCTGCCTCGACTGTGAAGACCAATATGCTGCCTGGCTCTGTTGTGAAGCCCAGTATGTCTGCCTCGATTGTGAAGCTCAGTATGTCTGCCTCGACTCTAAGTCTAGATACCAAACACGAAGATCTGAACAGATTCCGGTATGAACTGGTTGTGACTAAGGCAGGACGAGACGTGCTAGCAAGTGTGTTTATGTGGTCGTACCGGGGCACCTTCCCAGTAGTGACTTACCTCACTCAGGACTTGGGGTACACCAATGCTCAGTACAGGCGTGTCTTCGATGATTACCAGAGGGATAAACTCGAAGCTTCCTCTGACGCGGCAACTTTTGACATCACCCTGTTGTATAAACTCCTGCAACGTGTGTGTGGTCTGGCTGAGATGAATGACCCCACGTGGACCACTCCAGGGCCTCAGGGACCATCACTTGAACACCTCATTTACAAGCTGAAGCAACACCGAAACACGTTGGCATTTGAATATATGAGAATGACGGAGCAAGACCTCAGGAAAACACTGACGGAATTAAGGGATTTATTGGTTAAGATGCTGGCTGAGGCCGGCGTCCGGTGTGGGAGAGACAGCCAGGAAGTGCACAAGGTGACCAGAGATGTCAACGAGTATACTGAGGGTGTGCTATTGATGGCCAGAGAGCCGCTGGATCCCTCAGATGTGCAGTACGTTTCTCAACTCCACCAGGAGATTAAGATGTTCAAAAGCCACATCACAGAAGAGGTTAAGCAGATGAGCAAGCAGGAGCTAACTGACGGGTATACACTGCTGTACCAGATTGTTCCCGCACCCTGGCTACTCTACAACATTGCATACAACCCAAGTCTTGCTTTTACAAGACTGCGACTCCTTGAAGATCCTGTCATTTTGGCAAGACCAAGGGTCAAGGGCCAGGATGTGAACTATGAAGACATCTTGAGTATGAGACGAGAGGACGGAAGAGTCCCTGAGTGTGTCCTCCTGACGGGGGAAGGTGGTATGGGCAAGACAACTTTACTCAAGCTCATCCTCGAGAAGTGGGTAGAGGACCCTGGTGCCATACGTCACCTGGGCACTGTGGACCTCGTTTTCTATGTACAGTGCAGGGACTCACATCTTAATACCTTTGATGATCTCCTCCGCCAGTTGCTGCCTCAAACACTTTGTAATTTTGGTGCCGACTTCCAGCTGTTTAAGGAGATAATTCTGAGCTTAAATATATTAGTCCTGATCGACGGCTACGACGAGGTCAACGACCATTCAGGAAGGCTGGTGAAGGAGCTGTTGCACCTGCCTGGCAAGGATGTGAGGTTGGTGATAACCACACGGCCGGGGTGGGACCAACACCTGTCACAGCTCGTCCCACACACCAGACCTCGCTGCAACATCCTCGTCTTGGGCATCACTCCAGAACGTCGCGTGGAGTTCGCCGAGAGAACCATCAAGGTGCTGGTGGAGGAAGAGAGCCAACGGAGTGTCATCACAGGCAGGTTTATCCTTCGGCTGGAGCAGATGAGTCAGTTCGTGGGTGAGTACCTCAACACTCCACTCATCTTGACCTTCTTGGCGCTGCTGTGCGTCGAGGCCCCAGAAGAATTTAACAATCTCACAACAATTTCTGAAATGTATCAGAAGATTCACGACTTCATAACCAGCCAACTGGTGTCCAGACTCACAGACAAACACGTGACCGACCCTAAAGGAAAATGTGACCAGTTTTTGTTGTTCTTTGAAGAGATTAGTTTAAGAGGGATCCAGAGGCAGGAGTACTACCTTAGGCCGGAGACGGAAGTGGAGATTAAGAAGAAGTGTAAAACTCTAGGACTGCCGCAGGAGGAGGTCTTGTCCAATTATTTCACAAGAACCAGCTACCGTCGGGGTCTCCGTGTGGTGAGGGTGTTTGGCTATTTTCACACCAGGTACCAGGAGCATTGTGCTGGTAGGAGGCTGGTCACTCAGCTGATGTCAGAGGAACAGCTCGGCGACCAGGGAAACACCAACCTCGTGCACAGAGTACTGCTGGAGGGACAAAATGTGGTTGATATATCCAGATACCAGAACATCTTGCTCAGTGCTACCTGTGTGCTGAACGTTCGTGAATTGGAACAAAATTTCGCTTCTTGGATTATTGACCTTGTGTGGTGTAATGATCCTGAAGTGGATAACCTTTTAAAACACATAGTCGAGTCCCACAGCAACGAGCACATTATCAATGCTGTGTGTAAGAGGTTGCAAGATTGGAATTGTTGGAAGATAAAGTGTGTTGATTCATGTGCCGTTCTCCCGCTTGTTCTCAAGAGAGTGAGACCTGATAGCGAAATCGTGCTGGAGATCGAAAGTAGACCACAACCAAACCAACTAATGCCAGCACTGAGAGTTTTGATGACACTACCGATTACTGTAAACGTGCTTCTCTATGGTCACTACTTTTGCAGAAATGACGATCTTTCAAACATATATTTAGAAACATTGACAACTCCTGGCAGTAGGTGTACCTTGGAGAAGTTTGTGGGTCGATTGTCTGAGGCAGCCATACCCCACTTGCCTCCCACCCTCCGGAGCCTCGCCCTGCGCCTCACACTGCAGCAACTGCCCGTCTTCACACATCACCTGCCACTCCTTTGCCGTGTCACTGAACTAAGTAAATATTATTATTTTTATCCATATAGTTTATTAGTAAACTGTAAAAAATAATCAATAAGATGTTTAAGCATCAGTTTTAATGTGTTTGACAATACATATGTTATTTATAGATAAAATAAACACTGAAATGGCAAAACCATCCAGAAATTATAAGCTTTCTAAGCATCTGTTCCTAAATGTACTGTTATACATATTTCTACATTTTGTAACGAAGTTGTTCTGATCTTCAACTTTTAATGCCATTACCTCTTGCCTCATTTATTTTCCTCTTTTATTGACATTGAGTCATCTTATGCTAATAAAAATATAGAAAACAGACACTATTACAGAGAGTAACTTCACATTATTTGGCACAACATAGATTTCATATTAATAGTGTTTGATGCGGCACACTGAATCTAGACACCTCTTCCTCAACAATATTAACTGCATGGTTTCTGACTTTATAACATTTTAGTGTTAAAATACTAGTATCCCTCTTTTGATTTTTTTTATAATAGTACCAAAGTGTAAAGTATGAATAATGCAATTTTGGAAAGCCTTCCATGGAAACACAAACCGAAACTGTCTCTATTTTCCGCTTGTTACAACTTGTAATAAAGCTGTTACATCTTGGCTTAACGTGTTTATGACGTATTAGAACGTTGTTACAACTTGCTATATTGGTTGTTATAACTGGTTAGGAAGTGTTAAAACTTGTTCGAACGTTGTACCAACGTCGTAGTTTCGGTGTGTGTTTGGTGGGTAATTGATTTGATTCGTCAAATTCTTCATCCCTCAAGTTCTTTTGGAACACTACAGTATGCATTCCTGTTCTCTTGCAACTCTTACTTGCAGTTTAATTATAATTTTTACAGCTGAGATATATGCAATTTTATATGCTCTTATACAAATTTATATTACTGAAACAAATATCACTTATTATTGTTTGTTGACTCTGCATGCACCTTTCTGGCTATGAAATCCTTAAAATCCGATACGCTACGATACTTCCCTACCCCAAATACTTTGTGTGAAAGTTGAGTGAGGCTAGCCACAAGCATCTGGCCTCCATCCTTGTTCAGATACACAAGCATACATCACATTTTATAGAAATAGATGGACACCATAACATTTGTATTATATATAAACAAGTGTAATTTTACTGTATACATAATCATACTGGTATAGTATCGCATGAAAAGGCAAATTAAACAGCAAATTCTGCAATTCCGAAGTACTACTTGCTCTTAAAACTAATTTGTTTAGTTTTAAGGCGAGAAAGTTTAGATGGATAATTTATTTCAAACTTCTATTCAATAATTCAATCACACATAGAGGTATTCAACTTTTTAAAACATTCCAAGATCTGTGTACTAACTGCAGAATCCACAACGCTGCTCTGCACCTCATAACCACGAGTGTACACTTTTTCGGCTTCGTTTCCTACTGCCACTAGGCTAGCCTTAATCGTCGCTGTTCCTTTCTCCCAAACGTTGGTTACATCTAGACAAAGGGCGCTATCGTTGTTTCTCCATTGTTTCTTCCTTGTTCCTGCTGTACGATCTTGCCTTTCTTTGGAGCTTCGTTTACCCTGCTTATTGGTGCCGGCTTGGAATTTTTCACATGAGACATATAGAGGAACCAGCATTGTGGATGCCTCCACAATTGTATCAAGACGGCATAATTTTTTTTTCTTTTTCAATCCTGACTCTACACTCTTACGAGTCAAGCTTCTTACCACAGTACCGTTATCTGGGTTCAAACCAGAATTTCCTAGCCATATATCCCCAACGAAAACACTTCATGTATAGTGTGGGCTCCTCAATATATTTTGGCACTTTCCTGTATCCAAGTCCTTGCACAAAAGTCTTTCTAAAACCTCACTCTTTAAGAGGGCAACAATCTGGCTTTATTTTTCACCACGTACAATGTTCTTCCTAGCCCACACAACGTTTTAATTGTTGAGAAGCAGAAATTCAGGATCCAAGTATGTTGGATATTGAAAAAATGTAACCATTGTGTAAATTAGTTCTTCTACTTCAGGAGTAACCAAAACAATATTCTTGAGTCCGTCAGTCGTTAGATGTTCCACTGCCTCTTCTGTACCAACTGTTATATAGGGGTGGTGAGTGCCCTCCTTATACAGTTATTCAAATTCACCAAATTTCTTGGCCAATTGGACCGTCTATTCCAGCTTCTGAGGTAAGTTCATGAGACGCGTCGAATGAAATAACAGCCGCTTCCTTCCATGAACCTGTGCCTCTTTCTGTGTGGGGTCCTGTTGCATCCTTCCAGTGAGATTTTCCTGCTGAGTTTGAAACCCAGGTCCCATCTAGTGTCAATCACTACACTAATGAATCAAACGTGTTCCAGTAACATTCGAAGTTTTTGACGTCTGCCATGAAATTGAGGCAAATCAATGGCAGGAAGACGAACTTCATTGAATGGGTTTGATGTATTAGCTCCACTTGCTGTTAGAGCATTTTGAAAGACAGAGTTTATATTTAATTGTTCTAAGAACTGTATATTTATCCAGGCGTTCTCCTCATATTGTATAGTTTCAGCATGGGAGGTGCCTGGTTGAACATTTTGTTAAATGAGGATTTGAAGATAGTTATTTGCAGCCTGCACAGCCCTTTGTATTTTTTGTTTACTCACTATTAGTTGGCTTTCAAGTACTTTTGGTGTCACATTTGACTGGATTAATTGGTCACACTTGTTCATTTCAGTCACATGTCTTATGTGACTCACATATGATCTGAGGTACAACATACTGTTACTAGATATTTCGTCTCTCTTGTACTGGCTGTTGAAATTGGTTTTGTTGGCCCCATAATTTTGTAGTGAAAGTAACTGGGGTATTGACTCATACACTTTGAGCAAAGATTTAGAAATAATTGCCTAGGGTATATATATATATATATATATATATATATATATATATATATATATATATATATATATATATATATATATATATATATATATATATATATATATATATATATATATATATATATATATATATATATATAACCCTAGGCAATTATTTCTAAATCTTTAAAAAAAACAAAGTAAAGTAAACAAAACAATTACAGCAATCAACGCAAAGAAAGGTAGTGTGCATTTCAATAAACTTCAAGGCGACTATGGCTTAGGATATGCCTACGGCAATGTTAAGACGCATAAACCAGGTAACCCACTACGCCCTATAATCAGCCAAATACCAACCCCAACTTATCACCTGGCAAAGAAACTCAATGAACTCCTAACTCCATACACTCCAAGTAAGTTTAGTCTACAATCATCAGCAGATTTCCTAGAATTGATCAAATCTACCCAGCCCGATGGAATCATCGCTTCCCTGGACGTTGAATCCCTTTTTACCAACGTCCCAGTCGACACAACCATAGGAATGATACTGGACAGAGTATACAGAGACGAGAGCACCCCCAAATTAGACATACCTGAGCCACACTTGAAAAGTCTTCTCGAAGCATGTACAAAGGAAGCCCCTTTCATCAGTCCACAAGGAGACATGTATTTACAAATAGACGGAGTAGCAATGGGCTCCCCCTTAGGAGTTTTATTTGCTAATTTTTATATGGTAACCATCGAAGATAGGGTCTTCAGTAGCAGACAAAAACCAACTGTATACTGCCGTTATGTAGATGACATATTCGTAATAGTAAAAGACTCAGATGAACTAATTGACCTAAAAAGACACCTAGAGAGAGAGTCAGTACTCCGATTTACACATGAAAATAGTGAAAATAACAGTCTGCCATTCTTGGATGTACTAATAACAAAAACAGGAACCTCTTTAAGCACCAACGTATATACCAAGCCCACCAACATAGGATTATGCCTGAACGGTAGAAGTGAGTGCCCCCAAAGATACAAAGCCAGTGTTCTCAATGCTTATATTCGTCGAGCGCTTACCCACTGCTCTGAATGGAGCAACGTGAGTAGAGAGTTTGAAAGAGTAACTCAGGTATTGGTGAACAACGGATATAGCAACGCGGAAATAAACGCTGCTATAAGAAGACACTTGGACCGTTGGTATAATTCAGAACCTAGAACAGAAACCACAACACCCCCAATAAAATTATATTACAAATCAACCATGCACAGTGAACATATAAAAGAGGAAAGAATAATGAAAGAAATAATCCGTAAAGGAGTAAAAAGCACTACTCCTAACCAAAACATAAACCTGATAATATTCTACAAAACCAAGAAGACTTCCGAACTCCTTATCAAAAACAGCCCGAAGCCGACGGAGAACCCTCTACAGCAGTCAAGCGTTGTATACATGTACACTTGCCCCCACGAAGGATGTAACCTTCAATGTAAGTACATAGGTATGACGTCGACCAAGCTGACGAGGCGTTTGACATGCCATCTTCAATCTGGTGCCCCTAGGAATCACATGAGACAAGCCCATGACATTACTCTAACAAGAGAAATGTTGAACAAGAATACTTGCATAATAGACAAAACCCAAGATTCAAGAAGATTACAAATTCTTGAGGCAATTCACATAAGAATAGAGCGACCTACCATGAACACCCAAATCACGGAACTATTTACTCTACCCACCATGAGAGTAAGGACAAGACAAGAACATATCGATGCCAACACAGAAGACAATGTCCAACATAACAGGCCAATTACACTGGATTAATCTTTGTGTTTAGATAGGAGATGCCTCGTATGGGCCAATAAGCCTTCTGCAGCCCCTATGTTTATCCCTTATGTATCCCCCCATGTTTTTCACCTTCATTGTAATATATATATATATATATATATATATATATATATATATATATATATATATATATATATATATGTATATATATATATATATATATATATATATATATATATATATATATATATGCGAACAAGCCAGAATGGTCCCCTGGACAATATGCAACTGAAAACTCACACCCTAGAAGTGACTCGAACCCATACTCCCAGAAGCAACGCAACTGGTATGTACAAGACGCCTTA